AAAAAAAAAAAAAAAGAATAACCCAAATGACTTAAAATGAACACTCAGAAGCAGCAAAGTTTTCAACACCCCTATCCATCTAAGGTGCCTAGAATTTTCTACTTCAGTATCGAGGATGAGAGATTGGGCAGAGAAGCTATTTGCCAGGTCTATATTTTTCTTTTTATCCAAATATCTAAATGATAGGCTTCTTTCTTTTTTTTCAAATGTGTGGACTCGAGTTGAGACTCTAACGTTAAGTATTATATGGTAGAACTATAGAGGTGGCTTAAATTTAGTTCTCTATAAAGTAACTTAGTCCAGAAGCCACTCTGGAACTCGCCCCTATTAGCGTATACTCTATGACCCATCCATCCCTTCATCCATTTCCTTACCAACATCTTCAGCTCCTCAATCCTGCTACCCCAGACCTACTTCAGCCCAAGGGTCTGCCTCTCCGCATCTGCGCTCAGATACCTAGGCCTAAGTGAAGAAAATCTCATAATCACACAGCCAAGCCAGATGGCACCAATTATGAATACTTGGTCTCCAGCTGCTACCAAGTAATGGTAAGTTTCCTCAGTCAGCTCTCCCTTGCCTTCTCCAAAGCCACCGTTCCAAACCTTCACTCCTTTCCCCACCTGCTACCTTACCACTTCATTCTTGGCAGATGATCATGGTCCCTACTTCATAAAGAAAACAGAAACAGTCACACAGAAGCTGCTCCCAATTTTGTGCCACGAAACTTATTACCCGTATTACCCTCTCCTCTTTCCCTCAGTTGTTAAAGAAGTGCCCTTCCACTTGCTGAACCTACGATGCAGACGCCATTCCTTCTGATCTCCATGGAGAGCTGACTATGAATCTTCCCTTCCATTTCCTAATGTCAGTCACTTCCCCCTACTGTGCTCCTAAATCAAGACAAACACAAAACCATCTCTCCTTCCCCTCAAGATCTCCTTGAAAGCACTGCCTACACTTCCATCTCCCCAGCTTACCCCCACACCACCGCACGCTCCACCCATCCTGCTCCCGCCAAATTACAGCAGCTGTGAACGAGCACTTTGCAGTTCAGCAATAGATACAATTGACCACTGGGTCTCACGGAAACACTCTTTCCCTTTGACTTCTGTGACAGCACACCCTGTGGGTTTTCCTCTCACCCAGAGGCCTGTCACCTTTTGTATTAGCAACAGCCACGAGGAAAGAAATGTGTATACATAAGTATAGTCATAAAACCTCACTGCTGATGCTGCTTCTCCAGCAAAGAAGACGCAACATCCATAAAGGTGAAGACATTAGAAAGCCCTATCTAAGTCACCAGAGCGGGGGAGTTTTTCAACGTTTGGGTTGCACCACACTGAGGCTGGCATCACTAATTCCAGTCACTTCTGAACTCTCTCACTTGTCTTACCTGCTGAAACAAGAGCTCCTCTGCTTTGAGCCTCTCCATCATCTCCTGCTCCATCAGGGCTAGCTCTCTTTCATGCTCCAACTCGGCCATTTCCTTTTGTCTCTAGCATTGTTTAAAAACAATAGCACATGACTTATTAGAGATAAAACGATTTGTAAAAAAACGATCTTGAAAAAATCTTAATCACCAACAATAGGGGTTAAGTAAATCATAGTCTATCCATCTGGAAACTATATAATAATTTGGGAAGATGTTTGTTTTATTTGAATAAAGAGCACAAAATTAAAATTATACACTATGTATGAGGACAAGTAGGTAAAAAATAATTTATGGATGAATGTGTAGAAAAAAGGCTATGCCTAGAAGAAAACACCTAAAAATCTAAATAGAAGGCTTCTTTGAGTATTGTTTTCTCTTTTCTACTTTTTCATGTTTTCCAGGTTTTTATAATAGAAAAATAATAATACTGAATTTTTTAAAAAACAGACAATGTGAGACAAATTGGGTCAATTATTTTACTCTTCTGATTTCCCAAAAGGAGATTCATACTTACCAATTGTTCCATGGTCACATTTTCCTTATACTTGTAAATCCACAGTGCTAAATATTCTATAGGATCCACTGGGCGAATTTTTGCCACTTCTGCAAGACCTTGAGTTAGACATGCCCCAAGGTGCTTTTGAAGATATATCGACTCCATTTCTGACTTCCAAATAAAAACTTTTAAAAATAAGTGTTTTGCATTAGTGCAGGAAATTTTCAATTAAGGCACAATAGGATTAAAGTCCAGGGAGATCAACAAAGCATTACACCCTATCACTAGTCATGGGAAGCCCCATTAGGGATGGCACAAGCAAACTGGCCCCGGAAACGTCTCATGGTTTCCAAAAGGGCCCCACAGAAGTCACTACAACTAAAATAGTTTCAAAACCCTGAAGGACTCTCAAGTCCAAAAGTCAAGAAAGAGACACTATCATTACTGATTGCAAGATGACTTGCAATGGGTGTCCCATTGAATCTTACAACATACCCCCAAAATGGGGTATCATGAGCCCCAGTGGACAGCTGAGAAAGCCCGGCACTAAGAACATAAGTGCACATTCAGGATCACACAGCGGACAGAGGAAGGAGACAGAGTTTGCACCCACCTCTTGATTCCAGAGCCCTAAACCTAATGACTATACTTAGATGCACCTCCTAAGCTATGAGAGCCATTTGTACAAAACATCATGACAATCCACCTTTTAAAAAAAGAATTCATTAATTTTCAAGGCCAAAAAATAAAAATTCAGCCTCCAAAGAGCAGCATATGAGGCTCCTCAAAATCTGGCCCGAAATTTTCTTTTCAGAGTTACCTCCAGACATCTCTCCTGCCCCAACACACCCTGGGCTCTGACTCCACCGCATATCCTGCCATTCTGCTGATCATGCCTTGCACTTGTCCATCTCCACGATTCTGCACATGATAATCCCTCACTCTCAACTTGGAAAATATCTCCCCACCTGCAAGGGGTAGATCATGTCTCATTCCCTGAGCTTTCCCAAGAAACCCAAAGAAGTTCCTCCTTTTCCAAGCAGCTCACACGGCACTTGTCACTCTATGTGAGAATTATCTGTGTGTGTGTGTGTGTGTGTGTGTGTGTGTGTGTGTGTGTGTGTGTGTGTCTGTCCTCCCACTAGAAGACAAGCTCCTCTAGCTTCTTGAGGAGTGTTTTTGTTTTTGTTTTTTTGAGGCAGTGTCTTGCTCTGTTGCCCAGGTCAGAGTGCAGTGGCATTGACCTAGCTCACTGCAACCTCAAACTTGTGGGCACAAGCAATCTTGAGAAGTGTTTTAATCACAGGGCTGACACAGCTATCTCTCCAGGGTGGCAAGTGAATGAGTTCCTCCACTATCCCAGTTATGTCCCAGTCTTTCTAATTACAAAGATAGGAATAATCTTAGACTAGACTGTTTTTTAAAAAAAAAAAAAATGCAGCAACCACTATATCTCATGTGCCTTGAAAAAAACTAATCATTCTCAAATTACCCTTAATATTTTAAGAAATTCAGACTCTTCTGAGAATCTGATGACATGCATTCAATTATTCAACAAATACCTATTATCCATCAGGCACCAGGATAGCTACTGGGAATACAAAATTATCATGGATTTAATATCTGTGTACCCCGCCCCCTGCAAATCCATATGTTAAAATCCTAACCCACAATGTGATGGTATTAGGAGGTGGGACTTTAAGGAGGTAATTAGATTAGAAGAGTGGAGCCCTAATGAATGGGATTAATGACCTTATAGGAAGAGACAGGAGAAAATGCCATGTGAGAATGCAACTAGAAGACAGCCATCTGCAAATCAGGAAGAGGGTCCTCACCAGACACCAGAGATGCCAACACCTCAATCTGGGACTTCCTAGTCTCCAGAACTGTGAGAAATAAATGTGTGTTGTTTACGACACCAGTCTATGGTAATTTGTTACAGAGCCAAAATTAAAACACAAACAGTCTCTGACTTCATGGAACTTACAGATGAGTAGGGAAGACAAATATTAACCACATATTCAAATCAATAAGTGTAAAATTGAAATTGAAATAAATGCTACGAAGATCAGATAATAGGGATATTTGAACAAATCAGGGAAGTCAAGGAAAGCTTCTCTGAGGGGTGATATTTGAACTAAGCTCAAATTTACTGAAAGAATTAGCTCTTCTTTAAGAGAATGAAGAGCCTCCCAGGTATGATATAGGAATGAGCATGGCAATTATGGGGGATAAAATGCCAGTGTGTCTAAACCTGTCCCTGGACAAATTCACTAATGTTCTGCATGAAATTTCAGAAACATTGATATTCTGAGGTCCATCCATAGGCCCCAATACTGCTCTTATGTCATATGATGATGGTTGCAGTGTAAAACAGTATAACCCCTATGGAGGGGAATTCGGCAAAATCTAGAAAATCACATATGCATTTACCCTTTGATCCACCAATCTCACTTCTAGGAGCCTATCTCAAAGAGACCCTTGCAAAAATATGAAATGGAATATACACATAGTTATTTGCACCATTATTTACAATAGTCAAACTGGAGCACCATCTTAATGTTTATCAAAAAAGAGGATTGATGAAACACAGAAACACAACGGGTTATTATGCAGATACAGAAGAGAATGAGGATGCTCTCTAAAGTAGGGAGTGATCTCTAGGACATAAAATGAAGTGAAAAAAGTAAGGTGCAGAAATTGTATATGGTATGCCATCTTCTGTTTTAGCAATAGCAGTGGGGAAAGGAATGTGTATGTGTGTATACATAAATGTAGTCATAAAAACTAAAAACTCTAAAAACTGAAAACAAACTGGCATAAATGAACCTAATTCCCTATCAGGTTGGCACTGATGTCCTTACCACACACAAAAAAGAATTATTATAACTGACTTTGGAACACAGTATCCTCACTGTACTTCTTCAGTGGGATATACTCCAAGGACAACAATGACATCTCGATGCCATTTGAAGTGAAGTAACATAAGAAAGGGAATGGACTCCTGTTACTGCTCCAATAAGATAAAACATGGGAAGAGGACTGTTGTCCCTAAAAGGAAAACCTCTGGTCTAAGGGTTGGGCCAAGTCGAGGGTCTGTCTGGAGTTTCTGGGCGTTGTACAGCAGTGTATCAGTGGGACCTGGGCAAGGCTTGCCATCTCGCTTAACATGTTTCCTGTCCATGAAACAATAAAATACCCATCTCTCCTGTTGTAAGTTATTTTTCATGTACAAAACAGGCATCTTGGCTACAGATGAGAAAGCCCCTTCCCACAGAAGCAGCTGCCTCCAGCCTGAAGAAATTGCCACAAGAGATAGAAGGAGGTCCCTTGCCCGTCCCTGGGAGAAAGCCCGCCAGCCAAGTGGGCAGGGCGTGCACTCGGGCAGCCGTGCCGGACTTGGCAAATAACACAGCTTACCTAGTTAAATATGAATTTCTGATAAACAACAAATAACTGTGTATGATACCACATCTGTACCAAAAAGTAACTCGTTTATCTGAAATTCGAATTTCACCGGGCATGCTATACAATATTTTATCTGGCAACCGTGGACCTGGGGCGCTCGGGCTGGTTTTCCCACCCGGGTCCACCTCCCCACGCGGCAGGTGCCGCGCCTCTCACCGCTCGGGGGCGGAGGTGCCGGCCGCCGACCGGGCCCCAGGCGCGAACGAGCCCTGGCTCGGCCTCGGGATGAGTCCTGCGAGGCTCCCAAACTCCAACCCTCAGAACCGCCGCTGCCGGCCCCAACTCAGCCAAGCGAGAGGAAGGGCTCCCGGAAAACAGCCGGTGCCTTCTCGGCGCGCGCGCCAACCTCAATCCAGGAGTCGCGTCCCGTTGCCAGGCGACGAGCGCGCGCGCCTCAGGAGCCGAGCAGGCGAGTCGCAGGGAGCCGGGCCGGGATGGTGAGCTGAGGGCGCGCGGGCCGGGGCGCGGCAGAGGGGAGCGGGAGCGCGGGGCATGAGCAGAGGAGACTTGTAGCCTAGCAGCTTTGAGAAGGGGGCCGCGGAAAAGAGCAATCGACCGCCGCAGGCAGGCCGGCACGCTCTGGGAGGGATGAAGCGGCAGCGGGCTTGGGGGGAAGAGGCCATAAAGAGATGTCTGACTAAGAAGGGCTGGAGATCCTGCCCCCCCCCCCACCTCCAGAGTTCCTGGGAGACCGTCGCTGCAAGCTAGGTGGCCCAGCAGTTTCACAACTCCTCACCTTTGCACTTGCTGGTGACTTCTGCTTGGTTCCTTTTGGAACCAACTCAGGTTGCCCCCACCTCTGGGAAGCCGTCCAATCTCTGCCAGGCCCGAGCCATTGCAGTCTTCCCCGGCCTAGTCATTTGTACATACTATGCCGCTGGCATTTCCCATGCTGTTTCAACTTACCGGGAGAGGGGGAGGAGGGCGGGGGGGCAGTGCCATAATAAATGTTAGTTGAGGTAGTTAAGTGTCAGGATGGACACTGACGAATCGAAGAAAGCATGAGCCCTTACCTGGACCCGCAAGCATCAGAGTCCTTGCTAATTAAGTCAAGAAATATTTTCTGAGCACCTAATGTGTGCCAAGCATGGGGCATATAGTGTGAGTAAAGACAGCCCCTATCCTATTGCCCTGCCTTCTGAGTGCAAGACCAAGAACAAGGAGGACCAGTGTAAGCAGACCCTCAGGGGAACTCTGGGAAATCCCCCAAAATGGTACACCCCTCTTGGTGAGTGTACCCTGCGTTGGTGAGAGCTGGCTGTAAAAGGCATCTCTTTAATCCCTCCCTATCCAGGCCTCACACTGTGGCTCTCCTCTGGCTCTACTGTCTTTACAAGGAGTCATATTTGATTGAGATCATTGCAGGAGATGTGCAGTTTAGAGTACGTGCTTTCTCCTAATACAGTTTGCTGCACCTAAGCAGTGTGGCAACCACCCAGTGACCAGGCAATGGAGAGGCCTTCTGGAATGCAGAGTAGGTGACCCTACCCTCTGGGAAGGACATTTCTACAGCGATAAAGGCAAAGTAGATCTGTAACTACAAATCACTTGGGGATTTTTAAAATGCGAATTCTGAATCTGTAGGTCTCAGGTGGGACCTAATGTTCTGCATTTCAAGTCCCAAGGTGAGGGAATTCTGCTGGTCATCTGTCATTGGGCCAGCTTTGAGTAAAAGGGGTGTAAAAGATTGTTTATCCACGTGCATGGGCTCAGGTGGACCACAGATTGATCCACCACCTCCATCCCCACCCTCCACCACTACCCCAAACTTAGTGGCTCTTCAAACACATAGTTCTTGAGGTCAGAAGCCCAAAATGAGTCTTACAGGGCTAAAAGCAAAGTGTTGGCAGGGCTAGTTCCTTAGGGAGGCTCTGGGGAGAATCCATTTCCTTGCCTTTTCCAGCTTCTAGAGGCTACCCTTGGCTCATGGCTCTGAATCCCATTGCCTTTTTTCTCTTTGCCCTGTTATCACATTGCCTTCCCTGTCCAACCTTACTGGGTCCCTCTTATAAAGACACTTGTGATTGTACCTATATGGATAATCCAGGATAATCTCCCCATCTCAAGACCCTTACTTTAATCACATCTTCAAAAAGTCCCTTTTGCCACATAAGGTAATATATTTGTAGGTTTCAAGTTTTAGGACATGGACACATTTGGGAGCCATTATTCAGCCCTAGAACAAGAACATTCTCTTACTTACTTGTATTTCATTTATTCAAAATCAAGAAATTTAACCTTGATAAATTGTATTATATGGTCTACAATTCATATTCAGTTTATCCAGATTCCCAACAATATCCTTTATCGAATGTTTTTTTTTTCTTGTCCAGATCCAATTTAGGGTCATGTGTTACATGCAGTTATTATAGCTGTTTAGTCTCCTTGGATGTATAATGGGTCCTTATCTCCTTTTTTTTTTTTCTCATGACCTCAACATTTTTAAGAGTACAGGCCAGTCGCAAACTATCTCTCAATTTGGCTTTGTTTGATGTTTCCTTAATTACATTCAAATTTTGCATCTGGAGCAGGAATCCACAGAAGTGTATTATGTCCCATAAGAAGTGCACCACGTCAGGAGGCATGTGATGCCACTTTGTCCCTTTATTGGTGATGTTTACTTTGATCACTTGGTTAAGGTTGTTGTCAGCCAGGTTTCGCCAATGTACAATTTCTATATTTCCCTCTGGAATTAATACAAAATTTGGGGGAAGAAACTTTGAGACTATGTAAACATCCAATTCCTTGTCAAATATTCACCCAGTTTTAGCACTCATTGATGGTTCTGGCTTGATTCAGTTATGCTGTGATGGTTATAAAATGGCGATTTTTAAAAATTCCATTATTCTTTCCACTCTTATTGGTTGGCATTCTGCTTTAAGAACTTTGTCTTCCCCCCATTCATCTACTTGTTTATTCTCATATGGACTCATGGATTCTTATTTCATTCTATTAATATGAATAAATGTCCATTGCAGTCATTATTTTAATGGTAAAATTGTCCCAGTATTGGCTAGTAGGAGCCCCTTCAAAGCTAGTCCTATGTCCCCAGCATTTTAATTTTTAGAATTTTCTTACTTTCTAGCACAACAAAAGGTTCCAAGCTCACTAGACTTCCCCTACCCCTGCCTTGGAATCAGCCATTTCTCTAAGGAGCCCTGATTCCTTTTAAGTGACGGAGGCTATTTAAAAACAGGTTCTTTATGCTCAGTGTGCTCATTGCAGCTGAAGTACTTTGGCTTCTAGGCCCTTGCAGTGGAGAGAGCTATGAAGTATTTTTTTTCTATGTCCATATCTATCTATCTGTCTACCTATTTTTCCTTCCTTAAATTGAAAAATGGGGTGGGGGGAACAAATTGAAAAATGCCTCCAGAAAATGTTAAGGCTGGATCTGAGCCTTTATTATTTACTGGGCTCTTTCGGATTTAAAATGTGTAAACTTCAGGAATATGGAGTTGGTCAGGAGTAGGCTGGTGGTAGACCATTTCATGGCACCATCTTCTACCCTAATAACTAATATTTATTAAACACTTACTATGTGCCAGACTAAGTGTCCTGTATGTGTTTATTATCTCTTCTAATTCAATTATTATGAGGTGCATACTTTTTTTTTCCTGTTCTACAGATGAAGAAACTGAGGCTCAGATAAACTGAGTGACTTGCTGAAGATCACACAGCTAGTAAGTGGCAGAATCAGGACTGGAAGTTGGTCTGACTGATCCTGGAATCTGCATTCCCACAGGTATGATTCACGGCCACTCCTAACTTCCATTCTAATTCAGGCTTCCTTGCCTTCAGCTCTTGAAATCTGATGAACAGCAAATCCAGGGGCATCAATCCGACCTAAAGTGGTTTCTTGGTTAAGAAAAAGAGAACAGAATATCATGTCAGGTGCTGGCAGATCCGCTGACCCGCAGTACCTGCAGTGCCAGCATTTTCCTTCCCTCTCCTCCCCAGGGCTTTTCCGTGGTCCCTTGTGAACTCAATGAGCCTATTCTATGTCATAGATGACTGTACCTTCCCACCTCACAATAGCACAGCTTGCTGGGTGCTCAGAGCCCCTCCCCAGGAGCTCCTGCCCGCTCAGTTATTTCTTCCCTACTCAGGATAGGAATGCATGGGTGAGTAGAGAGCCCTTAGCTCCCCTTACCCACCAATGTATCAAGCTTCTCGCAGGCCTGATAACCCCAGGACCTATTGTCTGACCTAGTACAGCTGGAGAGCTCTAGAAAAAAAGTCCATTTGAATGTAAGAGCTATTGACAAGTATGTATTTGTTGCTTCTTTTGGGAAGGATGTGATCCAGAAACATATTTGTCCTGAAATAAATTTAAGTTGGTTAGAATATGTCTATTTTTACAACCAGATTAAGTTTGTAAAATAATGTGACTCTGTTTTGATGTTTCCCAGGCCCTAGGATGGAAAGTGAGTACCTAAGGAGGTGCTTTGGAAATTGCCTGACCCAGGCATTGGCGGAAGTGGCGAAAGTTCGGCCCAGCGACCCAATAGAATACCTGGCACACTGGCTTTATCATTATAGGAAAACAGCTAGAGCAAGAGAAGAGGTGTGTGTGTGTGTGTGTGTGTGTGTGTGCGCATGCGCTACTTAAGGAGGGCTCAGCTTTCCCAGAGGAATTTGAAATCCAAGGACAGGATTCTGGAGCTGGCCTGGGCAGTTTCTTGGTTTATTCAATTTAGGAGTATGGCTTAGAGCCAGTTATCCCTGAAGTGTGGGGAGTTTTGGGGAATAGAAAAGGGAATCCAACTCGAGGAATTGTGGAGTGGGTGGGTTTGGAGTTGCTGGCAGCCTAAAGCTAGTTACAGAAGGAAACGCAGCAGGCCTGAGGGCCCAGGGCTCAGGTCTGTCACAGCAAGGGGGACCCAGGTCTGTCCCAGCGAGGGGGGCCCATTTATAAGGCTTCCTGGTGCTGACCCGATTCCACTCCATCACATCACCCCAGAGCAGGCAGGAGAAGATCCAACTGAAGGAAGAATATGACAGTAGCTGCAGGGAAAGGGAAATGACAGAAATGCTGAAGCAAGAAGAATGGCAGATGCAACAGAAGTGTAAGAAGTGTTGCAAGGTAGGGAGAAGGAGCTCAGCACGGAGCACACACACATCCTGATGGTGGATTCCGGGAAACTGCGTGTCCGCACAGCCGCGTGCAAGGCACGCGAGGCTCCCCTTAGCCTGCTTGTTACTCCATATTTGCATATTTATATATAAACCAATTTGTCAATGAAAAAGGGAAATGCTAAAAGACAGATTCATTTTAGATTTCAGGAAATACATTTGATGTTAATCTGTTCACCTCGAGCAAATATTTTCTTATAAAAGATCCTTTGAGCCCTTTTCAAAAATTATTCAGTATTTTTCAGAAACCAAATATGGTTGTTATCAGTGCATACTTCAGATATAATACTTTACTTAGTTTTTGTATTCTATTTATTTTTATGTCAAGCCTCAGCTACCTCTATGATGCATAATATTGGACATAAATTATTAACTTGGAATAGTTGGAAACAACTCTGCATTCATCAGTCTGACAAGCACATCATTTACCTCCCACAATTTTTTTCCACAGTCTCCTGAAAAATGTCTTGTGACATTCTATGCTTTCTACAAAGTACATGATACCTGGATAGAGAATTGACTTAATTGAAATGTTGGGCTTGATATCTGACCTCTTTTTAACTATCACTATATCCTGTGCATTAAAATCTTTAATGCAGTTCTATACAATTCACCAGCTTTTGCGAGCAAAATTAGCCAAACTTCGCTAGTCAAAAAAGTCAACTTTGAAGACATGAAAATATTAAGCCTATTTATATTTTATACTAATAGACTCATAAACAATTAACAGATATACTTTTTAAGGCTGGATTTTATAAATAAATTAAATTAAAAGAAAGATGGTTTCATGCTACTGTTTAACAATAGACTCAGGGAACTTTCCTTCAAGAAGGATCCATTCTTGGAGCAATTTTGGGGGGATGGGAAAGATAAGGATCATTAAGCAAAAGCTGCCATCACCCTGCTACCCACTCTAATCTTTTTCTAACACCATGGTTATATATTTGTATTTTTAGAAATAGAAATATATAAGGTAGGAAAAGACTCCCAAAACTCCACCTTAGTTTTATGGTACCTTTGTTAAAGTAAACTTTGTGCACACCAATATTTTGAATTGTCTTTTTGTGTTGCACTCAGGAGGTTTTGCATCCTTTATCAATATTCTTTAGCAGGATTTAGATAAGTAAAAGGTATGTCATTCTTTTGCCAAGTGTGAGACAAAGGCAATTGTGAGGGAAGATGGGCAAATAGAGCCAGCATGGCGCCTAGACCATGTGCAAGCTCTCAGTTTTAGGAGAGTTCTTATGCCAGTTGTGGTTATGGAAATTGATTCCCTTTTTTAGAAGGAAATAAAGAGAACCCAAGCATGATCTTAAACAAAACTGAATTTACTTCTTACCTGGCAAGGGAGGGCTACAACATTCAGATATGAGTTACTCTCCAAGTAAAATTCGACAGGGCTGGATAAAGGGCAAAGAAGCAGGCGTATATCAATTAAGACAAGAATCCAAGTTCTGGTTTCTGATTGACTCAAGGTGGATTACAAACTATTCCTTGCTATTGGTCACCTTCAAATCTTATGTCATTAGTGCTGGGGAACCTGGCTTCAAACTAGCCCAGGATGGGTTGCCTAAAATTTCAGCAGGATGGGCTTTTAGGCACATAGTCAAAGCTTTGCAAGATTTTCCCTTCATCTCTTAAAACCATCTTTTGCTTGCACACACTTCAGCAAGTCTTTGCGTACCCCATATGGAATACTACTTGTCTAGCAGATGTGTCAAAAGAGGAGTGGAAATAGTGCTATATGTGGTTGAGAGCATATCCAATTGTAGGAATCAAGAAGAGTTCATAGAGGAGGTAGCATCTGAGTCAGTCCTAGAAGAAAGCCGGCAAAGGTTGTCCTTGTATTGGTTTCTCTTCATTAAGCAGAGGCAGCTTTGAGGAAGTAAACCATAATTTTGCTTCTATGTCAGAAAGCAATTCTTATTGTTTATAAAGAACTGAGCCACACAGATGTTTGAGAAATACATCTTTATACAATCAATAGATATTTGTGCATAGACTTCACACTTCAAAGTTAGAAGGATCTTAGAGATCAGGTGGACAAGTACCTCATAGACCTCTCTGCAGTGCCCCATGGAGTAGAACGGACCTCTGGGACTTTGCGGCAAAGACTGGGGTGGAGGTGGTCAGTAGAGCCTAAGTTCCAAGGATTCCTACCTCAGGCAGGGACTATAATTACATGCATGTTAGACTACTTGACATTGTTTCATAGGTCACTGAGGCTCTGATGCTTTTTTCAGTCTTTTTTCCTCTGTGCTTCAGTTTGGATCATATCTATGGATCTGCCTTCAAATTTCTTGACTCTTCCTTCTGGCAATGGCCAATATCCTATTTAGGGATTCAGTAAACTTTTTCATTTCAGGTATTCTACTTTTCAGTTCTAAAATTTCTGCCTAGTTCTTTTCTAATAATTTCCATTTTCTCTGATAATATACCCTAACTTTAATTCACTATCTTTCACCATTAAATGTTTGAAAATATTTAAGCTGTTTTTACTCCTTGTCCATTAATTTCATCACCTGTGTCATTTGGGAGTCTCTTCCCATTGAATGCTTTTCCTCTAGATTATGCTTCCCATTTTCTGACTTCTTCACATGTCTCGTCATTGTTATTTGTGTGCTGAACACTGTAGATGATTTTTACAGAGTCTAGATTATGTTGTTGTCTTTAAAAGGTATTGGGTTTTGTTCTGGCAGCCAGTGGAAGTATTGGTAAATTATCTTGATCCTATCAGACTCGGTTTTATGCTTTGTTAGAGTATGTTTCAGTTTTGTTCTCAGTCTCGGGCGTGAAAATAGCAATATTGTGCTCTTGCCATACCTGTGTGTGTCTCTACCACTAACTTTTTTTGCTTTTTTGTTGTCGTGGTTTTCTATTTAGGCACTGATTTCTGAAACTGTTTCCTCAAAGAAGACTGTATTCAGGCAGGAGGACATGAAACCCCTTGAGAAGGAGGCCTTGAAGCAGGAATCCCTGCGAGGTGCTCCTGGTGTGATTCCAGGAGAGCCTCAGCAGGCGTCTCCTTCAGAGTCTGCTGCCCAGGCTGACTGGAACCCCCCAACTCCACAAGAACTAAATCACCAGGAAGCTCTTCAGCATGAAGTTTCCCATGAAATGCCTTCTGGTTCCAAATCTCCTCCCTAGATGGTTCTAAAATTCTTCCCTCAAAGCTGGAAGCTAGAGGAGCTCTTACTTTATAACCCAAGATTTGAGGATCTGTAAAAGGTGGCCTCTATAGAGACTCCTCAGCCCATCTTAATCTGATAACATGAAAACCCCTTAATCATGTGAAGACTTGAACTAGTTATAGGATCAAATAAATGGTGAATAAGAATTTAAAATAAGTAACTGAACTGCTGAGACTTTTTCCTCTCATTTTATCTTTTTTGTTGTTTTTGGAGACTACACAGTGAAAACACATCCATCTCATGTATTCAGATCTTAACTTTAGCTGCACTTTGGGGCAGGCCTCTCAGAGCACTTTTTATGTGTCCTGGAGTCTACTACCTATATCATTGATAACTGGTATTTTTCTCTACATATGTTACCAATTTTTTTACACTTTTTTCCAAATTTTTTATTGTGGTATAATACACAGAAGATTTGCTATCGTAACTATTCTTAAGTGTACAGATCACTAATATTAGGTAGATTCATGTTCTTGTGCAACCATAACTACCAACCAGCTCCAAAACTCTTTTCATCTTGCAAAGCTTAAACTCCGAACTCATTAAACAAATCCATATTCCTCCTTTCCCCAGCCCCTAGCAACCACCATACTACTTTCTGTCTCTATGATTTTGACTACTCTAGGTACCTCCTGTAAGTGGAGTCATACAATATTTGCCTTTCTGTGTGTGGCTTATTTCACTTAGCATAATGTATTCAAGGTCCATCCATGTCATATGTAGCATGTATAAGAATCTCCTTTTTTAAGGCTAAATAATATTCTGTAGTATATACATGCCACATTGTGCTTATCTATCCATCAATAGGCACTTCCACATCTTAGCTATGGTGAATAATTCTGCTACAAACTTGGTGTATAAATATCTCTTCGAGACCTTGCTTTCGGGCCCGGTGTGGTGGCTCACGCCTGTAATCCCAGCACTCTGGGAGGCCAAGGCGGGCGGATCGTTTGAGCTCAGGAGTTCGAAACCAGCCTGAGCAAGAGCGAGACCCCGTCTCTACCAAAAATAGAAAGAAATTAATTGGACAGCTAAAAATATATATAGAAAAAATTAGCCGGGCATGGTGGCACAGGCCTGTAGTCCCAGCTACTTGGGAGGCTGAGGCAGGAGGATTGCTTGAGCCCAGGAGTTTGAGGTTGCTGTGAGCTAGGCTGACGCCATGGCACTCTAGCCCGGGCAACAGAGCGAGACACTGTCTCAAAAAAAAAAAAAAAAAAAAACCTTGCTTTCAATCCTTTTGAGTATATACCCAGAGGTAGAGTTGCTGGATCATATGATAATTCTGTTTTTAATTTTTTGAGGAACCACCATTCTATTTTCCATAGCAACTGCCCCATATTACATTCCCACCAATACAGCACAAAGGTTCCAATTTCTCTACATCCTTCTCAACACTTGTTTTCTGTTTTTGTGTGGTGACCAAGTCTGTCTTTTTCATCCTGCTCGCCCTGGTGGGAGGAAGGGTGATGCAATATGAAGCTCAAAGCCTTCAGGGTCTGGCAGATATGCTTCCATTTCTGGGTTCAATCACCTATTGAGTGACCTTGGGCAAGTCACTTAACTTTTTCTGAATCTGTTTCTTCACCTATAAAATAAAGCTAAGAAAAATACTGACCAATAGTGCAGTCATGAGATTATGTGAAAACTATCTGAAATCATTAAAGAATGGCCCCTTGCACTAGATATTCAAGTCAAGAGACTCCCTGTACCCACCCCTCCCGAGAATAGAGCCCTCTACTGACAGGCCCACATCTGGCTGACTAGTCATTCGTTCATCAGATTGTTATTTTAAATGCCTGCAAGGAGCTGCAACTCCTAGTTCTGAGTCCTGGGGCCCAGGAAGAACAAGACAAACAAGGTTCCTCCCTTTATGTAGCTTGTATTCCTGGGGGAGACCAACAAATAAAATGAGTTCAGATAGTGCTAAGAATGAAAGAAATTAAATACAGGGTAATGTGCTGAGAGAGTTACTGAAAGCCTGGGGGGTGTGGGGGGTGTAGGAACACTATGTCGGGTGGCCAAATAGAGTGGGAGGCTTCTCTGAGGAGGTGAGCTGAGGCCTAAACATGGAGGACCCATTGTTCTCCAGGCAGGGGGAGCAGCAAGCGCAAGGCCCAGCTGATTCGGTCGGGCTGGGTGCCCGACCACACGGTCTGTAGGCTGACCAGTGCCCTGACTTTTCCCTTGGGATTTAGAAGTAGGAAGCAGGACAGGAATTTTCACTTGGCAGTGGGAGCTGAAGATAAAAGGTAGAGGGATGCAAGTTTGGGGTCATCAGAAACTCTGAGCCAGCTGAGGAAGTCAGATTGTGGCTCCATCTGGCACCTGCCTAAACAGGAGAATGAAAATACAGGGCATTTACTTGTCAGTGAGGTTCCTGGAGCTGTCTTGAAATCCAAGCCACCTCGCAGTTCTAGTCTGCAAGAAGTCCCACCTTGTCATCAGCTTCTGTTCTTGGTGTTCCCAGATAGTCTCAGTTCTTAGTCTCTCACCGTGTATACTTTTGGCCTGCCTCCCTTTTCTTTTTGCTAGTTCTCTCTTGCAACCAGAGAACTTGACTGGAACAGAGCCGTGTGGACCTTGGTTTGAATCCTTGGCTTTCCCTTTGTTAGCTGTGACTTCGAGCAATTATATAGTATCTGCAAGCATCAGAACACAGCTGTATCCTTGCGGTGTTATAGAGATTAAAGGACAGACTAAAAAGAAAAGGGCCTGCAGAGGGTTTAGCACCTAGCAGGTGCTCAGAATGTGCGACGTCCCTTTCTTCGTCCCCTTTCTCTCGTGTTTTCATGGCTTTTCAATGGCATAGCTCCCTCTCAGCACTGAATTCTCCTAGTTTTCTCCAGTCATCCTTCTTGTGGTAATCCCTCCACCTGCGTGTGTCTCTGGTCGTTCCAATGGCCCCTAAACTATAATTGGAAGAACATAATGGCCACTACCTTCCCCCTTCTAAATGGATTGACACTGTCACTTGTCTTCATGAGGCCGGAGTAGTAAGGATGGGTGTTGGATCTATTAATATTAACAAGATTGGTTTTAGACTTGTGAACATTTGTACTTAGATGGACCTGGAAATAGGTTGGAGTGAGAGAGGTGTGGGGACCAGGATGGTAGAGTCGGTCCTCCAGATGGTGACTGAAGGAGGAAAGGGGGAGGTAAAAGCCATCTCAGAGAAAACAGGTTCAGAAGAGGAGACAGAATAGGATATAAACATGAAGCAGAAGTTCTTTGTAGACCTTGGTCCAGCAGTGAAATAGAAATAAAGTCATCTCAGTATTGGGAAGCTGGTCCAGGCAGAGCTCAGTGACTGTGAAGAGAACTCTGTAGTCTGGAGCCAAACAGAGAGCCGTTATTTCTTCAGGCCAGAACAATATGGAGGGGGCCTTATCTGTACTGGAAATGGAAGCCAGGGTGAACTAAGAAGCAATCTAAAGGTATCTGTAAGGTATGAGTGTATGTGCTCGCCTGTGCCGTTCCTACAGCGGTGCTCATACTTCTCTGCCTGCGTGCCATGATTTCTCCACGTGTCCACAGCAGGGTACAGTGGAGCAGCTGTGGCACGCAAATACTGCAGTGCAGACACATGGGAGCAGAATGCTGCAACGGTCCTCACAGAGACCCTCCTTGATCCCGGGGGGCATATCTTCAAGAGGACACCTGCAAGCCTTTCATAGGGGCATTACAGTGGTATCCAAGCGGTGGTGGAATGGTAGTGGAGGTTTGGTTTGGGGGCTCTCCTAGGCCACATCCTGCTATAGCTACTTATTGTCCCTGGATGCACTGCATGATTCTGGTGTAGCTTCACATGGGCATGCAAAGGATGGATAGGACATGGTCTCTGCTTACAGGGAAATGTACAACCAAGGAGAAATTTTGTAACAAGTATGGAGACTGCTCTTGATTTCAATCCCCTTCTTCCTGGCTCAGAGAGAGCTATAGTATTTATTTATTTTTTTCCCAGGACCGTCGTTGATGGAACCTAGAAGGTTCATGGCATCCATTTTACATTTCCCTTCATGCCCTATTCCATCCAGAAAGACTTCCTGGCAGAGCTGCTATTCCAGGCTTTGGAGGTGGCCAAATGGAGATATTTGAGAGTCCAGTTGGCACTATGAGTGTGAATAGTGAGAGACCGTGATTCCAGCAACTGAGAGGCAGTCTTGCTCACTTTGACTGGTTGCCTTTGCAGAGATTTTCATGATTAGCAGTTAGGCAAAGTAGCCTGTCAGTTTATCTTTCTTTGTAGTAGTCTCTTTTTCTATGAAGCCATGACCCATAGCACTGAATCTTTCCAGATTTCTCTGGGCACACAAGTGCTTTGATGTTGAGAAACACAGAAATAACTGGCTTCTTCACAGTCTGACCATATTGTCTTAGTCTCCAGGAAATAGTTGACTGAGCACTGGAGGGATCTCATCAAGGGCCTCTGAGTTTTTCCTCCATGGCTGGGAGTGAGGGAGGCATTTATTTCAGGTTGGCCATCGAGGAGAGGGTGAGGGCTGTGGCAGTGGCCTCCAGCATCTCTCCTCCGTTTATTACCTTTTATAGCAAGTACTGTGGGCTGGTGAAATGAGTATGCTTCTGTGCGGCAATCTCCTAGAGGAGAAGGTCCCGTGAGCCACCTGGCTGTGTCCCTGTCCTCTAGGGGGATTGGCAAGTTTGGCCCATAGGAGGCTCGTAATATGTGTGTGCTGAGTGAAGGAATAAGAGAATGTGACTCATTCTTTTTCTCACTGATGGGCGCATGTCACTCTTTCCGGAGATGACACAGGGATTTCCAGGGACAGGAAAAGTGCCCAGTTGGATACTCTGTTTTTCCATTTTGTTCTTTCATATGCAGTGAGTGGGAGAGGGTAAGTCTGGCCAGTTAACAAAGAGAGCTTCATGTATATGGTACACATGGTTTTCTTAGGCAGTATGCTGTTAGCACTCTTACCTTCCATCTAAACCCAA